AGGAGCTTCAGTAGCACCTTATTGCCAAAGATCTGGGAAAGATACCTGAGGATGTGGGACACTGACAGCCGGAGAGAAGGGAAAGCAATTTTCAGGTGGTGGGGGGGGAAGGTGATTTACACCAAAGAGTTGATGTGCAGACCTAATCTGGCCATTAGTATAACTCACCAATGCAAGCACGCATGCAGATAACCATAGAATTCAAACTCTTAGAAATCACTGCTCTACTCATTCACATGCTTTTTTTTTCTAAACATGATCCCAAGAAATGTTCTGAAGTTATCATTTACAACCAGATCTTCTGTTTTCCAACATCAACAAAAATCAGATACAATGTGAAAGAGGAAAGACATGCCAACACTGTATTAATTATCAGAGCACGCAGACAAAAATCCAGTCAAAACTTAAGGGTCATCCAAGTAGTTTTTAAAACTGTATACAGAGATAATGAGTTTGGAGTCTGAGACTGTAAAGGGAAACTAATGACTAGGTGCAGACCAGTGGTTCCCAACCTTTTCTGACCTCAGACAATAACTCGTTCAGCATTATGTGTTGCGGGCAACATCATACTTTGCTCTCCCTGATGGCCTTCAGCTATAACTTTTTAATTTCCTGTAGCTCTGAGCAGTATCAGAAGGTCTCCCAGATTTTTGTTGCTCGCTAACCCTTGAGCCACAGACGAGGGACTCATGAGTGGTCGATGAAGTATTATCTGACTTGGCTGCTGATTTCCTTGCTTGTTATGGTTTACGAGGGCGGGATATGGAGTCTTGCAACTGTAACTTTGTGTGGGCTTTTCTTCTTTTCCTGCAGAAACAAAGTTAATACCTGTAACTTTGCTTACACATAGGCATGGGTAGGTAGCCAGCCTTCAGGTGCAACAGCCTCCAAATCACGTATCCTCAAAGCATCTGACAACTGTTTTCACTTTTTCATTCAAATTAAACAGGATTGCCAGGGTAGGCGGGGTGAAACGTAAAGAGGCCCCAGAATCGCCTGCAACAGTTGGCACCGAGTCCTTCCCGACCGAACCGCTGCGAGCTGCCTTTGGACCAGCAGAAGCGGGCAGCAGGCTCGGGCCGGCTGCCCCGCAGGACGGGCCAACCCCAAGGGACCCAAGCGGCCAGCGCGGAGACACGTTTGTGCGCCTTCAGGGAAGCTTCTCGCCCCCACACACTTATGTTCCTGCCTCTCCTCAACCCCCAGT